CCCAAGGGGAAAACACAAATTATTATCAAGACATACTTGTATCTATGAGATGGGGTGGGGTGGGGGTGGGGGGTTAGATGAATGAAGTCCATTTGCCACACCTTGAATGATCTGTCAAGGCAATTTAAAATGTTTGTGGGTGGTGTGGACAGTTTCTTTTGGATTATTTTTTGGGCAGGTGGGGCAAGAAAAGTAGATGCTTTTTGTGGCCTTATTAACATTTCCACACCAGTATTGGTTCATAACGGTTGTAATTTTATCAGTGACCAACAATTCAATGCATGCACAGTAATGGGAACTTAGAATTTCTGGCAGGAGCGGATTGTTATTTGGCTCAAGCCAGAGTTCTCTCTTTTCATCAAACCAATAATTATTAGAGTTCCAGTATTGTTTTTCCTTTAATGGGGCCAATTTTAGAGCATTCCTAGTCAGTTTTTCTACATTATCATTTGGGGAGCCTCCCTTTGTACCATGACAGAGGTTTGGCTATTGGTTCTTTTGAGAGCAGTGTTGTTGGTGGAAATATATTAGTGAGGCTGTTTGCTTTAGCCTCCAGGGAGTCAAATTGGGAATGCCCAAGTACCTTAATAGCCAAGGTGTCGGGTAGGAGTATGGCATCTAATAGTTTTTGGTCTTAAGAGCCATACTTAGCTGTATCCCCATTAGAGGTAAGGAAACCTTGTGGTCACGAGCTACCCCAAAGGCATAGCAACTATTGATATAAATGTTTGGTTTTGCCCTTGGCAAGAGCACAAACTAGAGTAACTGTGTAATTCAGTCAGCTGGGCTGAGGTAGCCAGAGGCAAAGTGCTGCCTTGATGACTTCAAAAGTAGCTATAATAGCATACCCCGTGTGGCTCAGTGGCTTGAGCATCAACCCATGCACCAAGAGGTCACTGGTTCGATTCCAGGTCAGGGTACATGCCTGGGTTGCAGTCTCAATCCCCAGTGGGGGGTGTGTAGGAGGCAGTCGATGGATGTTTCTATCTCTCTATCCCTCTTCCTTTCTTTAAAATCAATAAAAACATATTTTAAAAAATAGCATACCCAGTGCTCGCTTCGGCAGCACATATACCAAAATTGGAACGAAACAGAGATTAGCCCAGGGGTGGGCAAACTTTTTGACTCGAGGGCCACAATGGGTTCTTAAACTGGACCGGAGGGCCGGAACAAAAGCATGGATGGAGTGTTTGTGTGAACTAATATAAATTCAAAGTAAACATCATTACATAAAAGGGTACGGTCTTTTTTTTTTTTTTTAGTTTTATTCATTTCAAAGGGTCGGATTCGGCCCGCGGGCCGTAGTTTGCCCACGGCTGGATTAGCCCCTGCACAAGGGTGGCACGCAAATTTGTGGGAAAAAAATCATAAAAAATAGCATGCCCAGTCCAATATTTACCACTTATATAAGAACAATCAGCTCGAGCCAGTTGTTTGGAGTATCTGGTACACTGAAAGGTCATGGGTTCAATTCCCAGTCAGGGCACATCGCTAGGTTGTGGGTTCCGCGGTCCCCAGTTGGGGTGTGTATAAGAGGCAACCAATCTGTTTCTCTCTCACATCCATGTTTCTCTTTCCTTTCCTCTCTCTCTAAAAGCAATGAACATTCCCTCAGGTGAGGATTGAAAAAAAAATTATTTAAATAAGAACGAGGAACTTCCTGTAAATTATGGGTAGTCCAAAGGTGACCTATCAGCAACAGGCAGTCCTGAGGGGTTTTGTCAGTGAAGACGGGATGATAGCCAGGTCAATTTCATAGGTGAGACAACTGGCAGGAAAATTTTTGTGTGTGTGTGTGTGTGAAGCCCAAATTTATTTCTATTGAAAAATGCTCAAGAGACTTTAAAAAGGTCCAAAGGCCCAAAAGCAAAGGCGTCCAGTTTTAATCTCAGATCATCCTGACTTGGTGTCCTTCCGTTTCTCCTTTTGTGAGGCATCGATTTGATCCTTGTTAATGAGACACCTCGGCAATTCTAGTTGGATCGTGGCGAATTTTGTGACTCCCAGTATCTGTCATAAATGGCCATCAGGTTATGAACGATGAGAAACGTAAGACCAGAAATAATCACGAGATGTCTGCAGATATTACTTGAATATCCTTTCTGAATTATTCTTTGCAACCAGGCATAGTGATCAATTTGAGTAGGGGAGATCATGGTGAGTGTCACTTGCAAAGACTGGTATTAAATGCAGCTCTTTCAGAAAGAAACCAGCAAACACCTTTCAAGATGAAACAGCCTGGCAGGAAAGTATCAAGTGTGATGAGAATGCAGGACTTCAACTGCTTGGGTACAAGATGACAGGGGCGGCGGGAGGGCATCCCGTGCCTATTTCTTCAGTGTATTTAATGAAAAGGACAGTGGCTCTGAGGCAAGAGGAGTTACCCTTGTGCCACCGGGTCTAGCTGTTGGCTGTGGAGTCCTATGTGGTGATGGTGATCTCCATGCTTTAGGGCAGCAATTTTCAACCTTTTTCACTCATGACACACATAAATTAATTACTAAAGTTCTGGGACACACCAAAAAGTATATATTTTTTGACGATCTGACAAAAAAGAGGTATAATTTTATATATATATTTCTTTATTGTTTTCAGAGAGGAAGGGAGGAGAGAGATAGAAACATCAATGATGGGAATCATTGAATGGCTGGCTCCTGCACACCCCACACTGGGGATGGAGCCTGCAACCCAGGCATGTGCCCTTGGCCGGAATCGAACCTGGGACCCTTCAGTCGGCAGGCTGATGCTCTATCCACTGAGCCAAGCCGGCTAGCGCAAAGAGGTATAATTTTGATTCATTCACAACAGACGGCTTATTGTTGGGTTGGTTTGTCATTTTTTAAAATGCATTTTTATTGATTTCAGAGAGAGGAAGGGAGAGGGAGAGAGAGAAATATCAATGATGGGAGAGAATCATTGATCCGCTGCCTCCTGCACGCCCCCCGGCCCCCACTCGGGGATGGAGCCCGCAGCCTGGGCATGTGCCCTGACTGGGAATCAAAGCTCCACTCTCAACAACAGGCTGGGCTGGTTTGCATTTTTAAAATTTGACAGTTAAGGGAAAAGAAGTCAAGGTCCCTGACTAAATAGGTGCTGCATGTTTCCAAAATTCCTGCGGCACACCCGTTGAAAACCGCTGCTTTAGGGTGAGCGCCAGGAAGGGACCCTGGGCCCTGGCAGAGCAGAACGCGAAGGGACAAGTCGCGTGTTCCGTCGGCCCCTTCCGGCGTCGCAACGGCCTCCGCCCCGCCACTTCCGGCTCGGTCTCGGGCCGGTGTGATGGTCTCAGACCTGCGAAGGACACCTCTGAGCAGCGTGTTCCACAGCCATGGAGCAGGACGACCCGGCCGAGGCGCTGACGGAGCTGCGCGAGCGCAAGCCCAGCCGGT